GAATGTATCAAACAGGTTAGAGCTTCAATCTCTGTTTCAATGTTAAAGAGAAAATAGCAACCTTTCTGTGGACCTCCTGACTTTTTGGTTAAATACAATAAGCTAAAATGTAAGGACCAATGGGTTTCTGTGTCTTTGTAGGAAATTATTGATGAGGTGAAAAAGGAACTCCACAAAATGAAGGAAGAGATTATCAGCAGTAAGTTTTTAAAGGGATGTCCTTGTTCTCATGGGGTCACATTTCAAAGCTGTGTTGAATGAACCACTGATATCATTGTTTGTCTGTTCTAGCACTGATTCAGGAGCTGAAAATAACAAAAACCAAGGTGGAAGACTGCTGAAAGAATGTGATGATGAGATGTGCAGGCTGGTTCGTCCAAAGCTCTGGCGACTTGATGATGTCATTCTATTTTTTTTATTACTAAGTCTCAATATCTGTCTGTCCAGTCCTCCATATTTCCCGGGCCTTTTTGTCCCCTTCATAGTTTCCAATGATGTTGTTTATAAAGATATAAGTCTGCCTTTTTTTATCTGCATAAACAAAAAGGGATGATAAGATTTGCTTCTGTTCCAGCAAATATCGTATAACTGCAGCACCACACATCGGCTGAAATTCTGTCCTCACCCTGAAGCTGTTTGTTTTGGCACTTTACTGCAAAAATACAAGACTTATCAGGTGTCACATCAATTATCTTTTGTAAGTTGACAATCACAGTATTTCATTGAAAGTGGCAGAGGAGGTGAAGTGCTTGCCAAGTTGAAGAAATATGAACGAAACCGCAGTTGTGTTTGCGTGACCACCAGGATACATCATGAATACGAGTTAGCTCAACCCAGCCTATGGTCTTACTATGCCTTCAGAAAGAAACAGAATCATCTTCAGTTACTTCAATCATATATCACTGAGTATGATTTGGTGTTGTTTTTGAGATGTGTTTTTTCATACAAAAAATAAAAAACAGCTAAAATACTGTTGTAATCAACATATTCAGAAAAAGGAATTTTTCAGACATTTATAGATGAAACTATCGTTTTTTTATTGGATCCAAGCATTGACAAAGGAGGGTTTGTCTGAAGTGCACAGGCTCGTATCAAGACTGCAAAAGGAAAGATGCAAAAGAAAACAGCAAATATCATCAAACCAGTAAGATTAGCCTTATTTTTTCTGAGATGTTTTAAACATATTCAAAATGATATGGTGATTTTCCTCATCTGCTTCCCCTTCCCTGTCACATTCTGGCATTCAGGAGGAACCAGGCTTTAAGCACCAAACTAATCCTTCTCATCGACCACTGCAGCCACACAAGTTTAATCAGAAACACTAGTGAAAAATGTAGAACTTAAATCACTATGAAAAATATGAAAATCCTTCATATTTTTCATTAGGACTGATTCTGAGTTAAACTCATTGTGATGCTGGATGTTCTGGGACAAAGGCAAAGACACAAAGTGTCCTCAGTGTGGCATGGATTGGGTTGGCACTGAATCAAATTACAATTCCTTCTCAGTGGTTCCATGTCGGCATCAGAACCATCCCTAGGACACCCTGGGTATCAACAAATGATTACAAAAGAGTAATCAGATAGGGGATTTAACCCCTCAGGACAAGGGACCAACTTGGCACCACACAACCTCAGTCACCACCTTTTTCCTTCCTATCTGAACCAAAACCAGTTAAAATCCCCACTTCCACGATTGGCCATCAGGGCAGTTTTTTGCATAATGCACCGACTTCTATTAGTTAGGAATCATTTCTCATAATCGTTTCATTTCTAACTAAACTGTAAGACCTTGTGTTTTCCTAATAAGGAACTCTAAAGCAAAGGTCACCAATATCCATCCACAAAAACAACCGCACCCAGACAGAGAAGAGGGGTTATGTGGAGATACTGGGACTCTGTGGCCATTCTACAGCCACTTCCCAAAGCCAGCCCACCTGCTGCGAGCTGCTTCTGCCACAGCAGACTTACACCTGTGCTACAACAGTGCTAACAGAGAGAAAATAGTGCTTTGCAGTACAAAACAACATCATATTCATCATCCATCAAATGAAGCATGGGGTTCAGTGATAGCTGGATTCTGATTGGCTGATGATGTGGCACAGCCAACATTTTTGTGACTTGTAATTTGATCAATTTTCTTAAATATAAATAATGACAAAATTATTGCGATGGGACGGTTTCTTCAATAATCACAGATTTTAATTAGTTAGATTTTAAAAGAAAAAAACCAACAACACTGAAATGCATCTCAGCTAAACAGGATCTAGCTGAGCAAACGGTTCTACAATAATCATGGAAAAATACTCAAAGGGTTGCTGGGAAATTAAGGTTCAAGAGAAAATAATATCATCTAGCATATTTCCCATCATCTCACTCATGTGCATTAAACCTTAGTGCCGCCTCCGTTTTCAACAATCTTGCGCTTCTTTTCTTCTTTTGGCGTTTTGAAGATGTTGGCTCTGTAGTACTGCAGCTCTTTGATACTCTCCTGGATGTCATCCAAAGCTCTAGTGGAGAACAAAAGACACCGTTAAAGACTGCTCCCAATAAAAGTCAATTGGAACCTCTGGAGTCGATGAGGCAAAGGCGGATTTAGCATAAAATCCAGAAATTCATGGAGAACCCTGAGCATCCTCTTCCTCAGACTGGAGCTGGAAAACAGAGTCTCTTCAGGCAGAGGCTGCTTCAGACTGGCTGCACACCACAATCTGTCATAACTCCTTATTAAACCAGTTACACCCACATTTCGTCTCCCTCTGGGAAGAATCCAGTATCTGTGAATTTAAGTTATTTTCATCTTTATTATCCAGGTTAGCCTCAACATGTTTTGTTTCAGAGGAAAACAAAAAGTCCTGGAGGCTGTGCTCATCCATAGCTTCTGTATCAACCCTTTTACTGCTTACTTTAAAAAGATCAACATTTAACAGGGAAAACCTCTTTAGATTCTCTACTTATACTACCTATACATTTTAAATCCAAAGTTTAGGTTACTAAATACAGAGAAACTTTATAGAGACATTATTAAAATGTTTTATTTAAACATTACTCTATTATGTTGTAGGCTAGGCACAGTATGGGTGCCCTGATAATATCAATCCCATCAGGGTTTGAGGTCCCTTCCCACTTCCTGTGGGATCAATACAGCTCTCATCTTTCATAGGTCGGAGATGAGCCTGATGTGGAATTTCTTGCCTTTGACTTCTTTATATTTACCTGTGAGTTGCTTTTTTGTGAGGGACCATTTTGTGTTCCTCAGGAAACCACCGCCTGAAAATGTCCCCAGAAATAAAA